AGAAACGCTGCAGTGAATATCCAGTAAATTTTTATGATGACCGATAACCATCAATAACTTAGCTGAAATATGAATAAAAAAGAGATAGTTGGAATGACGATGACACTTCACGTAAAGTCATGTTCAGCACTGACACAAGAATGATGTCTCATACCATGAAAGTATGCAGAGAACCTGCCAACAAATGAGTTGACTTTAATTTCAGCATTATTAGTTATTAAGATATAGAAATGTGCACTGCCCGTAACGAATATCCTATGAAAGCGTAGAGGAGATATTTGTATAAAAGCAGTTTATAATCGACGTTGTCGTTGTTTAACCTTGCTAAGCGGTATAGAACAAGCATTCGAAAGGTCTTCCTTTAGGTTTCCTTTTTCAACATCTGTGACCAATTGAGCATCAAAATTGTTAGCTTGCAGAAATTGAGTTACGGCCTCATAACTTTTTGAAACCTTGAACAGCATTTCTACATATGTTGAAATGAAAGTAAATCGTGATATTGAAGAAAAAGATGGTATTTTTATCTATTTAAGAATAATTTCTGGTCAAAACAACGTTTTAAACATTCATCTTTCGAATAAAAATTTGTAGAAAACGTACAATTTGAAAGCGAAATTTAAATAAGTCCATTTCTTGTTGGATAAACCATTTAGTCTGCTCAGGAGTTTGACAAAATGCAAGTCGAAGGATGAAATGAGATATAACATCGCGTCTTCTTTCATTTTCGAGTTCTTCCAGTGGACAACAACCACATGCTATTGGCATCAGTTTCATCAACTGCTAAAGGATACTAAACGATTCGTTCGGAAGTACTAAAACTTATTCATAATCAGCTGTACTAGTTCGCCCTCATCATTGAACAAATTTTCAGACGCTGTAATCGGTATCTCGGACATTACAAAAATATATCCATCTATGCTCACAGCGGCTGCAAAAGCATTCGACTACAACAATTACACAAACAACAATAATTGAGTTGCAAAAATTAAGTAATGTTGATACCGCGTAGCCACTTGCTTACCTTTGTTAACTGATTTTTCATCGCTTCAGTTTCACGTGGAAAACGATCTTTTACCTGCTCGACGGCTTTCAACACTCTCAACCTGCTGAGTGCCAGTTCTTGAAATTCAAGCAATGTGATATCGTCCATCGGTGGCTCCAAATACATTTGTAAATTTAGATCTTCCATCTTTTTCGGACCCTAAATTTGAAATGAGAGTGGCAGTTTCGAAGAGTTTTGAAGAGTTTTGAAAACCATCATAATACTTGTTAAGCTTAACTTGCTAAAAGCTATTCAAAGTTACCTTGTGAACTGATCCCCGAGCATTCTGAATCTGGAACTTCGGAATACTTCTCGGACTCCCTTCAAACTGCATCTTCTTCAGCTGCAATCCCTTGTTTTTGCAGTTACTTTCTACAGTGAAAATTATCCACGAATCACAGGAAATCTTTCTTGGAATGGAAAACCCAGAAAAGAAATTTACCATCAAAAAGTCCTCGCTATAAGATTCTAAAGCAGTACGACGTAGACCTATGTTAGGGAAAGTGTACTGAAGTACTAAGAGTACAAGAAGTGGCTTCATAACTTCATGAAAACATGAACGTGACTTATGAATTTAGACGTAGGACCCCAAATTATCTCACAATTGAAAACACCTCCGCCCTATAAAGGAACGAAGTTACAAGAAATTGAGAAAACCTATCCCTTTACTTCATATATTTTGCCCTATTTTAAAGACTCTCTTTCTAGTGCACTCATGTTGTGTAATACTCAGTTGCGCAAACTTCACTGTTAGTTTTATCTCTTAAATTCTTATCTACAATGGATGAAGTGCTAAGTCGACGCAGAGAAGTGTCATATTACTCGGAACTACTCTCCCATTATGTACACTCACATTACGAAGAACGCAGTACCTACTGCTCTACAATTTCAAAACATTAAAATGTGGAAAGAAACTGAAAATTCCCGTGAAAAAGAGAAAATAATCGCAAGTGTTAAATGTTTAATTTCAAAGGTATTGACAAAGTAATCCGAAAACAAATGCTTCATATTCCTTTATCATAAAAACAATGACTGAGAACAAGCAGCCGTAGGTATCCTTTCACAACACAAACAGTAGTTAAAATTGGATTTACTGAAATATTTAAGAATCGTTGATCTTAAGCATAAGATCAATTGCTCATTTTTCTAAGCAAAGACAAGAATGTGGTATTGGGACAGTTGCTGTACAAGTATGGAGCTATTAAAACTGATAAAAAATTGATACACTCCTTCAACTTAAAAATACTGCTACTCTTTTCTCATACTACAAATAAAATCAATATAATAAAAGTGATTGTAGAAGACGCCTACATTGATTATCAAACAAAACACATTGTTTTAAACAGCAGTTCGCGAAACATTTGAAAATGACCATTTTACTGCATCTGCACACAGTGAATGCAGCACAAAATAAGCAACAGAAGCACCAAAATAATGAACACCAAATTCAATGAAAACGGCTAATATAGGAAAACGCATAACTTATGATTTCCTTGACAGACCTAATTTCTTTGCTTCTGATTCATAGATCAACAGTCTCCACATTTTTACAACGAAAACTTCTGCTTCATCATCCAAAACCTATAAAAATCAGTAGAAACACAAATGCCTTAAAGCATATTGACACACTTTTCATTTGAGAAATAATAAAGTAAAATATAACAATAGTCAAACGTGTTGTCCTGTAAAAAAGTATGCAAATGCGCAGTGCGCGCACAGAACTAGAGGTTAAAAGCGACAGATTCCGTATAAATAAATACAAGTATAAATTAAATTCCTGATGAAAGTCAAAATATCGGTGGAAAAGTTACCATAGCGATGTCGGAGAGGATTTTCTGTGGGTCAGTACAAGTATAAATTAAATTCCTGATGAAAGTCAAAATATCGGTGGAAAAGTTACCATAGCGATGTCGGAGAGGATTTTCTGTGGATCAGTTTTCGATGTCACTTTTTCACAAACAAAATCAACCAATGAAGCTTCCTCTTCACCGATATAATCTGTTATTTTTTTCGAAACCCAAGGCTTAACCTAGAAAAAAAATGAAAAATATAGCTGTAAGATGTTATGGAACCAAAAAGTATTCTAGAGGTGTCCTAAATTTTAAAATAATATTTACTCTTTGTTCAACAAGAGATTTATCGACGTAATTCCAGTTGATGGGAAAAGCAAATAAATCATTTTTAGCAGTTGGAATCCGATCTATTAAATCCTTGATCATCTGTTTGCGTTCTTCCGATGTCATCGCCTGAATGCGGTCCTGAACAGAAATTAATGAGTAAAAGAAAAGTTCGAGGAAACTGATAAGTAACGAAATACAGTTGCTGAGAACTTATAACTTTCTCTCAGAAAGCCATAATTCTGTTACCTCTTCAGTAATTTCGAATGGTTTCAACTTCTTTTTCCGAAACGCTGCATCTTCATCATTTTCTTCGAAACCGAATACGCCATTTAGGTGAGAACTTGTTGACGGCCGTGCAGGAGTGATAACATCCGTACGTACAATAGCTGGACTTGCGACTGATGACGACATTACGGAAGGTGATACTACACTCACTACTGGTGAACTTGCAACAGGAGTGCCTTCAGATGCTACTGAAAAATTGTGATACTTGATTTAGTAAAGTATGTTTACCGAACAGATTGATTATTTAAATTCTTTGCTGCATAATTGAAAATCCAATCTTACACATCTATTGCGAGAAATTTCGCAATCATTATTACTGATTTCAACGATAAAGTAACACAAAAATTAAAATCCAGTAAAAAACGAATTTAAAGTCAAAATGATGAAGTTAATATTATGGATGTTATACCAGCTTTCCAACTACTCCGCTTCTCAGGCTTCTCCGTTTTGAGAGTTTCCTCAGCGCTTCCATCACTTTCAGAATCGCTTTCAGATTCTTCACTCTCCACATCTTTTTCTGGCTCAGATGGCAACGGTTTCTGACCCAAAGGACGATGTGGATTTGGACTTCCAGAATCTGCTCGTAGTTTCCGTAATAGAGCTTCCTCCTAAATATATTCAATCCTCCAGGAAGTTTTCCCCAGAAGAAAAGTTGTCTATTTCAGACAACAAACATATAATGAAACTTAAAGTATCAAGGAACCTGTTCTTCATGCCTTTTTCTGGCCTCTTCATCCGGATTTTCAACATTCGCATTCTCAGCCAAGATTTGTTTTTTGAGTTCCTCGATTTCTTGTTGCTCACGCTGCCGATCTTTAGCATCTGCTTCACGCTCACGTTCAAAATCACGCCGGCGTTGAAACAGTGAAGAACTTCTGCAAATAAAAAAAACTGAAAAAATTTTTAAATAATCCCTAAATCTTCACAAACTTCAAAATATCACTTCCTTAAACGCCTTTTGAATACGAGAATATCAAAACATCATTTCCTTAAACGCCTTTTAAATACGAAAATACCATATCAAAAAAATAAATAATTAAATGGGATGCCTTAACAAATGCATCATCATTTTTCCTATTAGCCACATACCTTATCCAATGTTCAACATGTACCATTCAGAGATTCATTACACAAAATAAAAAACACTTTGATCGCCCAGGCAATAACGAACACCAAAATTTTCGTGTAAGACAAAAATAATTACTTGTAATATTTTTGATCCATGCGTTCATCGTCATAATCTTCTAGGAAATGTTTCAATTTTTTCGCTTCTTTTTGCATATCACGCTTACGTTGTTTTTCTCGTTGTTCATCCCGCTCATATAATTTCGCCTGTCTTCTTTCACGTGCTTCCCATTTACGTAGCCTATCAGCATAAGCTATTTCTTTTTCACGAATCTGAAAAGACTTCCTCTAAGTTTGAGAAACTATGAAGTTCCTACGCATAATAGCTTTTTCTTGGCGATAATTTCTTTCCACTTCAATTTTCTATCTCAAGAAAGTCTTCTACTTCGAGAAGCTTAAAAAAAATTCTTTGAGTGATCTGAAATAAAAGAAGTGTAACCTGTTTACGCAATGCTCTTCTTTCCTTTTGTTCATCACTGTCTTCTGAATCTCGATCTCTGAAAAGTAGTCACACTGAAAGAATGAAGCGGTATCTATAAATTACAATAGAAAGGAATAAAATTGCCTGCTGGGTGTCTGAGATCTAAATGCTTTTCGTGTATGGCTTCCGGAATGGTTCGAAAAACTGCTATCCGAAGACGAACTGCTACTACTTCGACTTGATGCACTACTTCTGCTTGATGAACGATAATACGACCTAAATTCATAGTAATTTTGAGACGTTAGAAAGTGAGAGAAGTGTTGAAAAAAAATCGGAAGTAAAGCTTTCATTTACTTCTATTCAATTGAAGATGGTTTGCTCCGTAATTTTCTTTTTTTTTCACTAATGTAAAGAATATGAAGAGATCATTTAATGGTGTATACTGATACTGAAAGCTAACTTATGCTCCATACTTGAATATTAAAAACTTTTGACGATTAAACAATGCAAAAGTTTCAAATTAAAAAAGGAAGTGAGACAAATACTTTTTGACATCAGTTCGTTCACTATCACTTCGGGATCTTTTCCGAGACTTATGTCTACTTCGACTATCTGAACGAGAACGTGAATGTGCCCGATGTCGGCTGCTGTACTTGTCATCGTCCTGAAAGTATTCCATATTAGTTGGATCAATTCTGCGATAAACATGAAAACAAGAGTGCCATTTATTTTATGGTATTCATGAAAACATGAGCACCTTTTATATTCGGTATTCTATTCCGCAATTTTATATGCGCTCCCAATATACCATCTGCGCTATATATCTCTAATTTGATCATACTTAGGCTGGACAAAGACGCATGCAACAATGTAATAACCATAACTTACCTTCTCCAAATAAAACTATTTTTTGTAAACAATGAACATAAGCCTTTAGACAATAACTATTTTCCAAACATTGCAGTCGTTTCATTTAAGCATCAAATAATAGTAATCAATTAAGAAATAATAAGTAATAACACAGTGTTTTATCAATCTTAAAAATGTAAGAAAATTCATTTCATCATTTAATTATGCAAAGAGATTTTTTTCCCCAAATAATAAAAAATGCAGTTACTGTTTATCCAGAACATATTCGCGACTATCCTAAACATTTAAAAACGTCCACATTTACAAACTTTTTTGTCAAAAGCGGTATTCTGATCGCAACTGTAAGAAGTATATCTAATTATTACGCAATCATCGTTGTATTATTATATGAACTGGTAAGAGATGATTGACGAATCTAATCAAAATGAGCAATTTTTGTCACAGAGTTTTAGAACAAAAATAGATCACCTTCAGATGATTAAAAATGAAAACCCTCGTTAGGTTTTTTGCCGATGGTGAACTGTGGCGGCATTAACAGAATGTTAAAGTGAAACGCGAAATTTCGTTCAATCCATCATTACAAAGATACGATAAAAGAGGAAAAATGAAACCAAACTTAATAATTTATTAGGGACGTGGACGGTAATGCACTCGAGAGTGGCTAATCACTGTAACAGTAAAACACCAGCATCGCTCTAAAAGATATTTACTGACCAAACAAGGAAGTGATATTAGATCATTCTCTGTCATGCCGATGTAAGACAAAATCAATATATTTCTTTTAATTTATGAAAATAGTCACACCATCGATAAAGTGGCTAAAAATTGATGGATAAGGCGTATTTCTCATGCCAAAAACGCCAGCTGAACCAAATAAAACACTGCAGATAGCAATTTTCATCTCATTTGTACAACAAACAGATCTTAGATTGGTGACACAAACTTTCAAGGTTCTGACACCTTTCTGTTAAGCTTGAACGGATCAATTCGAAACTGACCGTTTCCAAATACATCCCTATATACCTGACAGAATCAAACCATGTTAATTGAATAGTATAATTAAATTAGAAAAGCTATCAATTTATCCACCTCTCTAAGCAAGTGAAACATATTAGTGTAACGTAAAAATAATTAAACTTAATGAAAATGGTTTCCTAGCGGGCAAGATACAGTTACTTAAAACAGCAACATTTACACTTACCAGCGCGACAATTTTTTGCTGCGTATTGTACAAATCTGTAATATTATAAGCAAAATCACTATAATTCTCTTGTTCTCTTCATTTAAAAAAAAGGGGGAAAAAAAAAACATGATATAGAATGCGCCCCAGAAATTCCATGCAAGCTTCAGCACAACATTAAAAAAAAAGAAAAACAAAAATAAAGAAAACGTAAAAATTAAGACGTTGCGCTATTACGAAAATGAAATACATGCAAATAAATAAAGAAGCCCTGAGTTAACCAAAAAATACGATATACGAATTTACGCAAAGTACTCTGCTGTTCAGTTCATAATGAAGCTGCTAAGTGAATAACACTCAATTCAAAATGTGAAAGAGATATGCCGTTCGTTAAAGCAATGAATTCCAATGGGTAAAAGGTGCATGCTATAAAATTTACAATTGAATAATCTTCTTCAAAGTCTCAGTCTATCGACTGGATTTGGGTAAGTTGATTAACTAAACCAAAAAGTGACAAAACTTTAAGCGGTGTAGGCTGCAGTTTGTTACAAAGTGCAAAAAAGAAATAGAAAATTGACGAGGGTATCCAAGTCTATGCACTGGCCCTGCAGGAAGATGTATTCTTTAAAACCCACAATCTAACGGATTATACAAAAAGATCTGCAACACAGGTGGGAGAACTGACATTACACCTTGTCTAAATATAAAGGACAGTTTGGATTGTTCCGACTCCTGACAACGAAATAAGTTATTTGAAATTAGAAATAACCTTTCAGGGAGTCGAACATAAGTCAAACTATTAAAACAGAGCCTTAAAAAGGGTGAGATCTTGCAGAACCAAACATTTAAAACCATAATAAGATCTCAACATGAAAAATGTTTCGAATTTTATTGTAAGAATCAGGGCGAACTGACAACAAGTGATCGAATTTTTATATTTGAGTTCTTTAATCCAAAGTATAAGTGATATTAGAAAGTATTAATCAGCCCAGGATATCTCTCAACTTCCAAAAATTATTCAACAATGGACTGAATATCTGTTCAGTGAACGTGATTTCTTTGTTTTATAGCAAACTTGTTTATCGCAAACAACGGTTTATGTTATTTCGTCAGTATACAGTCATTTTCATCAAAAAATGAAAAACCGGAATTGGTAGTATTGAATGTATACTGCGTATTAGCGAAAACTACCAATATAATTTCATTTTATTAACGGTAGTCAGATGAGATTGATTACTTTTCAAATCTTAAGCTTCCTCGTTGTTTTGGAGTCGATTAGTCTGTTCAAACTTGTTTGGAAGTGGCAGTAAATGGAGTAGAAAAGCCTTCATTTCTATGTCGTGGTCTAAAACAACTGATTTCAACAAGAAGGAATGGACTAAATTTTGGAAGCAACTTTTTCAATGAAGACCAAGACAAATTATTTGAAATGTAGGGAACAACCGAAACACAGAATCAATCTTAATCTGAACAAATTAAGAGCAGTGGGGCGGTAGTTAGTATTAGACAAGCGAGAACATTTAATTAGTCATCCGAATTCATAATTTTTCTTTGATAAAAAGTGAAATATTTGCTAATTTCGTGAAATTTTTGACATTAATACGTGAAGAAAAAGAAAAACAAACGTTGACGTACACACAAACAGCTTTTCAAGCAGACAGAATAGCATTTTTCAAACATGTGATATGCATTCACTGTTGCTGTTGAAGCTTTGCTTATGTTTTATGCTCAGATTTTGACACCGGTCTTTTGGTTTGGGAGCAAAGAGATTAGTTGCTGTGAGAAAATAAAGGAAAATGGAAAATGTGGAACTTACTCGTTGCCAAAATGCGTACTTTCGTTATCCAACAATATGCGTTTAGCCTATACAGATTTTATCAAAACACACACCTCTACTTGTGTGTACTTCAATTATTACATTTCATTGAGACACTATTTAAATTATATACTGCAAATCTTAGTTTATTAAGAAATAGAAAAGCGTTGTTTGAAGCTGTATAATGTTACCCACCTTTCTTTCCTTTCGTTTTTCAACACTTCGATCTAGTGCCCGATCCTAAAAAGTGCAGTTTCAGTACTGATTCATTTCCGACCGGTAGAGAATATGATGAAAATATACATCTAACAGAAAATCAGTGCAATTAAAAATAAATGATATATCCATATTCTATTAATTAAATTGCTCACCTTTCCTTTTTCCAAAGCTGGAGACCGAGTCTTTTCTGCCAGTTCACCATCTGCAATGCGCGTTTTTTAATTATAAAAATCAGTTTGGTATTGTATTTTGTTCAATCCAAGTATTATTCCAGTTTATCTTAAAATTGCAAAAAAAAAAAAGGCAAAGTGTCAATAATCACAGAATTCAAAGTGACTTGATATCACACATATGGACTATATAACCACTTTATAGTTCTTTGACTTCCACTAATCAAAAGCAATGTAACCTTCTATGGGCACCAAATCTGGTGCATCCTTTTCAATCAGTATTTGGATTTTTTGCCGTATTTCTTCATCGTCAGCAACATTGTCTTCATCTGCTGGCATTTCATCGGATGCTAACGTTTCAGGTGGTAAACTTTTCTCTGCACGTTTTCTCGCGACATAATCTTTGACCATTGTTCGTGTTTTGTCATCAATCTGGAAACTATGCCAACTATTGCATGATGTAAAAGTGGAATGAAAAAGAAAAATACGGAGTACAAGTCGAATGTCGAATAAGTTCCCTTGTATTCCGTACTCCATACGGAATACAAGGGAACTTATTGACAGAACTAACTACTTTTTGACCATCAATCCAACTTCGAATAACATATCTCTCCAACATCACTGGGTATTACTCTACGTGTACCTATCGACAGGAAATGGTTTTTTTTTTTTGCTTTTTTTCTGCTTCCGCATTACCATGTCTTTATGACCTTTATTTCTGTATTGAAAAACTAACTTTAACTACTAATTTCTTCTCGGCCAATGGATACTCATGCAAAATTCGTAAAGCTCTCATTGTACCAAATGGACTTTCAAATTCACAAAAACCAAATGCTTGAAATTTGCCATTTGAACCTTGAATGCGCTTCCATGTTGCAACTGCACCACATTCCTTCAAAATTTCAAAGGTTAAATATATCCAGTATCCCACAAGATCAGAAAACCAGAAAATCAGCAGCAATATCAATGATTTTTTGGATGGTTATGAGCATACGAAGAAACAAAAATTAAGTCAGTGTTCGCCAAGAATTTATAAGCTATTCCTACTAGTTAACGATGTCTGTATTATCAACATCCTAAACTATCGCTTCCTTCCATATTCGCATACTTCTCCTTCAACTGACCATATATTATTTACAAAATAAGCAATTAGTATGAAGCATATCTACCGTCAAAATAGCTCGTATCAGCTCGTTACCGCATTTCTCATTTATATTACCAACGAAAACTGTCGTGACGGGTGGTTTCTCAGGAGGCTGAAATAAAAAGCCAATGAAACCATGCAAGAAAAAGTAATAAAAGTGCAATTTCTTTGCAATTTTTCTAATACGGAATTGTGTAGCAAAAAATAATAAATTAAATACCTTAGGCTGTGGTGCGGGTGGTGCAGCCATCCGTTGCGCAGCAGCCGCAGCCATGATAGGATTGGGCATAAAATAAGGATTCGGAAAAGGCACTAAAATTAATCATGTTGACTTGAAATGATTATTTAAGTTTATGAAGCAATTTCATTTGAATCAGTTAAAAAACTGCAGAAAATCGAAAGCAAATTATCTGTTATAATCACTTAATTATGTTATTACGAAAATCAAAAATTACCATAATGTTTTACCCATCCGATGAAAAATGAAAAACTTGAAATATAATAGTGTCTTTTGCATGTGAGGTACATCCCAGTTATTTGAAGATACAAGTAGAGGAAAGGGATAAAAAACAAAGTTTCAGCAAAAAGTTTACACAAATGATGCATAAACTTTTCACTAATTTTAACGCATGCATTTCTTTTTTATAGAATTTCGCTCTTGAAAAAAACCTAAGTTTCATCTTATTTTCAAGGTCTAATTACAATTACACGATAAAAATGTTTTGATATTTCAGCAATATCTGAAAAAAATTAAATTTGATGTTTGAAATTTTAGTTTTTAATCTCGTGCTCCTAACCACATCTCGGAAATATCCGCACGACTGTAAAGTGAGACAGCGCTGAATTTTTACCTTACAATTAGAATCCTATATTCCAAGTTATGCAAAAATGATCAACACAATATTATCTGACGCTGAAGGCAACTACAACTTTGAAGTTAAGAAAATGTAAAAGTCTAAAGGTGAAATAAGTGAAGAAAAGGGAATTAATTAGTGAAAAGCCGAGAATAATTTCGATATTTTAAATTACCAAAAATAGTTCGAAATTTAAATGAACATGCAGTCAAGATATATGAGCAGTTTCTTCTGACACATGACTGGAGGAGGATGCTTCATAAATACTCCTCTGTATTGGTGACACAAGATTTTGATAATTTTTGTTAAAATTAGAAAAGTCTTGAAAATTTACAGCCATGTGTCACAAGCTTGTCAAGGCATCAAAATATCAACAGATAGAAAAAAACGAATCAAAAAAGAAACTTTAAGTGTAGAAAGACATTTCCAAACAAAATCCAAAACCTGAATAACAGCAGTAACTAAAACAATAATAAGAGCAGCAACTAAAGTTCGCTGGCAGTTTTATAAAGGACAGTCTGCATCTGGTATTTGAAAGATGAAATTCAGGGATAATCGGAAAATCATGTCCCCTCAAATTACTAAGATCATACTACTACTTCTGTTACGATAATAAAGCCAAAAATGCAAAACTATAATCTAGGAAGGCGATGATCTCACAAATGACCTCAATTCATTCTGCGAAATCTGTTTAAAAAAAAATCATTCTTTGAGCTGTTCCAACATTCCTCTCGTTGCAAGATTATGGAGATGTTGAGGATTCCAAAAGTTCTTTGAGTTACAATTTAATTAGGAAGCGGAGGGAAGGTGGCTGATGGTGAAGCGCAGGAAGGCTGAATAATAGGTAAGCTGAGTGACAGGATATATCTCTAGTGCTTCTCTTAATTTTGCAATGGCAGGAATGTTGCAGTAGCAGAAATTTTGGGAAAGGAGATGAAAGAAAAGATACTCCGACCGATTAACAAAAACTTCACCATATATCACAGTGATTATAGCAACTGATAAAAAGTCCGACGATGTTAAGGATCTCACAAAACCAAGACCACCTAAAGTACAATCTCAAGGGTAAACAGTTTTAAAACTTTTAATGGGAATGGAGAAGCAGTTCATCCTAATATTCCATCAGCACAAAGTACTCCTATAATAGTTAAAGACATCACTTTTCTAAACAGTTTGTACGACCAAGTAATCAGTATTACCAATCACATCAAAGCTGCAATAAGACAGTAGCTATTCCTCACCACGGTTACTGCTTCCATCAAGAAAGCGGATACCCGTAAAATTGATTCAGATGTTTCGGAAACTTACTCATTGGTGTTATTTGAGGAATTTGAACACCGTAAGTTGGAATCATACCAGGAAATCTTGGTGGTACAGCCATCGGAATAATAAAACTAGTATAGTTCCTGAAAAAAAAAACGACACTTATGATTACAGGTTCAATTTTTTAATCCTCTCATTTGAAAGAACAGAGTAAAGTAACTCGGAAGAGACGACCCTCTGACGGAAGCCATAACACAGACTCCGTATACGGATATCCCTGGAATTACCGACACCAGATGAACAGCAAGATTTGACTGCAAACGAAGCGTGCGAAATGCCACGCACTCGTTGTACTACGCGTTCTGAAAGGCATCAGTGACAGTGTGCAATGATTTGATCTATCTCGGAGAACGTACTGGGATTGTTCGTTGTAAACTGTGTTGCGTTGCTACTTCAGGGGATACTTTCATACATGAAGGTCGTAGCAGATAGCTTTCAAGATGACTACTGTGGTTAAATTTTAGCTCTTTTATTCATCGGTCTTTATTGTATTTCACCAGTCTCTACAGAATCCTCATGGTTGAACCGGAAAGAGCCAAGGAAGGCGCTACGTCAACGTCAAAAATTTTGATTGCTGGGAAAGATCCAAAATGGTGGGATATTTCGACATTTTCGAAAGAGGATAACCCGAACGGGCTAATCTGCGAATCTTCATTTGCCATTCTGTTCCCAAAGTATCGCGAGAAATACATCAGGTTTGCCGGTTTTTGTTTCAGTTGTATTTAAAGCTAGTCCTTCTTAGTTTTGATTATTCTTTAGTTTCGTTAAACTGATGTCTATCGTTATGCATTTTTTGAAAGTTTGAAAGGAATAATCTTATAAATTAACAATTGTAGTACTTACTGAAAAGTAAATTCGCCTATTTTAGCGTTCCAATGCATCTTTTAAATTAGTGTCGTTTCCCATCGGAAGAAAGCTGAATTCTGGAGATCTTGGAGACTTTATTATGTTATTTTTCGACAGGACTATTTTTTCGGGAGCTTTTGTAATGATTAATATACTCCAACTTCAGGGAATGTTGGCCTTTGGTACAAAAAGCTTTCGAGGAACATTTTTTGAAGGTTGATCTGGATCTATTGGAAGGAACAATGGTCGTCAAGACGACTAGGAAAACATGGGATCCATATATTATAATAAAAGTATCATTCATTCTCATGCCATTGATTGGGCTCATTATCTGCTAGTGATTTACGATTTTAGGTTCGAACAATCAGGAATTTTTTAGGCTCGTGATGTCTTGAAGTTGATTTCAAGAAGTGTACCATATGAACAAGCAATAAGGGTACTTCAAGATGACACTGCAAGTGAAATTATTAAAATCAGTTCGATGGTGGCAAATAAGGAGCGATTTGTTAAACGTCGTGCAAGACTAATCGGTAACGAAGGTGCAACACTGAAAGCAATTGAACTGCTCACTAAGTGCTATGTTATGGTTCAGGGAAGTACAGTGGCAGCTGTTGGCCCATATGAAGTTTGATTTCGACTCCTTCTACTTTTCAGCACTCTTCAGTAGCAATTGCTAATTAGATATTATGTTACAAGACTTAGTTTGTACTAGTAACATAAATCGCGAAGAATAACTTGATCGAACTTGTGCTGCGCATCGGATAGCTCTCTAATCTAATAATTAAGCAAATCTATTGATGATGAAAGCTATCGATTTTCTCTCTCCGATTGCAAAAAAAGGAAAAAAAAGGTATTTGTTTGAACATGATTAATGTTGTTTTTTCATGGTTTCTAGGGACTGAAGCATGTTAGAGTGATAGTGGAAGATTGTATGAATAACATACATCCTATCTATAACATTAAAACATTGATGATTAAACGTGAATTAATGAAGGATGAAAATTTGAAAAATGAAAATTGGGATCGCTTTCTACCGAAATTCAAAAAGAAGGTACGATCTTTCGGATATTTGATTGCTTCTTATTACAAAATGTGGCATAATTTGCATCTTTACAATCCCTTCCTTTACCATCAATATGAAGAAAATTTATTTCCAGGTGCAACCTTCCCAATTAACAAATCAAGCGAAGAAGAAGAAAGCTGCACGGTGGAAGAAAAAAGCTGGATACACCCCTTTTCCTCCTCCACCTGTTATGAGCAAAGTAATTTTGTTATATTAGTAAGGTAGTAGTAGATATGCATCTACTTACTAATTTTAAGAACACATGGGATATTCTCAGTTTATTTTAGACATAAAGTTTTAGTCGTAATCAGTCACCTGGAGGTGAACCTCTCGTCATTCTTTTTCACAGCTAATACCTAGCTTAAAACTGTACTTTAGATTGATAGACAGCTTGAAAGTGGAGAATATTTCTTGAGTGAACGGACAAAACAAATGGAAAAACGTAATGAAAAACGCACAAAACAGGTATTATGTTGTCATATGCTCAGATCCATTATTCTTTATATCAGTTTCTGGAGGCTTTCCTTCTTTTTAAAATTCATTTTAACACTGTATTGTGCAAAAAAGTATAGCCTCTATTTGTGGTTATTTTAGTTGGAGAAGACAGTTGAACGTAAAAAACAACGCGCATCAGAATTTACACTTCCAGATGGGAAAGCAAGACCTAAGACTAACCATAAACGAGTTAATGAAACTCCTATTGATATTGAAAATTTGAAGAAAAGGCCAGAAGGGCAAAGGAATAATGATTACTTATGTTGGGAAATTGTTTTTCTGTTGAACTCTTTCTCGGCGATACAGATTTATTCGGAAGGTAATACTGTTCTTGCACAATATTACTAGTTAACAACAGGAAGAAAGGTATAAAATATGTATGTATATAACACGATGAATTGATAAGCAATGATAAATGAATTATACAAAAAGCAAGTAATATGATCAACTAACAAACTCCTTGTCGTTGCCTTGGACAATAATTTGACTGTCGGTTTAGTTGATAGGTCAATTTTGAGTTGAGAATACGTTACGGGAAATGTATTTAGTGAATAGAAGAATATCGTAGTTTGTTGTCCAATGGTGGCGGATATGCGAAGATATCGTTGGTTGTAGGTTAGTCGCGGAGGATAAGCGATGAGGATGTATCGTCTGCTCGATTGTAAAAACTGAACTCAACTGTATCTCGAGATTTTTTTCATATATATATATATATATATATATATATATATATATATATATATATATATATATATATATATATATATATA